TGATAAGTCTAACAAAAAAATTTGGTTCAAAAACCTTTTATAGACCATTTTTTAATGGTTTTTAAATTTTTTTTTAGGTTTTTTTAAATTTTTTTAATTATTAAAGACTATAAACTATAATGTAATTAAATTATATGAAATTGAGTTTTAATGAATAAATTTGTAATTATATTAAATATTAAGTGTTATCTGTAAAAACTACAGTCCATAAGCTCCAAAATGAGGTTTTTGACTTTATACATAAAATTACTATAAATTTACTGTGACTTTCTATAGTTTAAAAAAAACAATTTGAAAAAAATTATCAAGCACACATATATCTAAAAGTATTATGTGGTTACACAAAAAAGTTCTCAATCGCAATCCCAAATGCACCCTAAATATAGTGTATAAAACTTGTATATGAGTGAATCCCAATCACAAGTATTTAAATAAAAACAATAATTATCTTTAATAATTAGTGTGAATAAATTTTAATAGTTGAAAATTGAGAGATAAATAGTTAAAATTTTGTATAAATATAATATGTGAAATTTTTGTGTAAATGAATATTTACACCATATATATATATATATATAGTATATCAATAGTTGTAAAGTGAATTCACAAGCAAAAGCTACTAAAAAAGATGAAGTGCGAGCGAACTCAAAAATATTAAAAGCGCTAAAACCATGAGTGACTACGTATACAAACCTTGTTGGCCGAATGCTGTCCATGAAAACATTAATTAGCCACCTAACCAAACATATATGACCTCTGACTGAAGACAACCAAATCTTAAAAAGACATCTTTAAATCCCTCGAAGTTATTCCCTTCCCCCCTTTTGCTTTAGAAATGGACAATTAATGGGGCCATTAGCTACTCCTCCTCTGTTATGGAGAAGATTTGATCAAAATCATACGCAACTGTGCTCTACCAAAAAGTCATACAGAATGCTATTATTGCATGTAATGTCTTAGTTATTCTATATATGTCTACCATGTATGTGTATATTGGGTGCTGCAGGGTACTCCTAACATTAGGTAAACGAACTTGTCACTACAATGTAGCAAAGAAAAAAAGTATTCATTTTAATTATTTTTATCAGTCAAATCAATTCAATAGAATTAATTTAATAAATATTGTTCTCAATTATGGGCGCCTGCGCTCAATATCAATAGCCTAAGATTCTCTCGTATATGACTGATAGCAACGCATCTCCATATCTGACCCAAGACACGATCTGTTTGACAAAATGGGGTTTGGCAATTGGCAGACTTTTCTCTATGGTTCGGCCCCTGTTTTTCAAAAAACAAACCACATATTTGTGTCTGTAATGAGTTTGCTAGCTAGCTGTGTGTGTGCGTAATCCGTGTGAGACTGAGATATGATAAATCTCAACTCTTATTTTCATTAGACAACAAAATAAAGCAATCATCCATCATTTTCCACTAGAAAAAGTTTTCAGAAAGAGGAAGACAGAAAACCCTAGAGAGCAAGTCCTCACCGCGACATCGCCGCGAAGTCCCCACGCTTTGATCATCATCTTTTGGCACACATATAAGCTCTTCCGAATTGGGTAACATGAGTCTTGTATGATTTATGTAAATGTCCTTATCCTCCCACATAAACCTACCCTTAAATTAGTTGTTATGGCTGACCCTCCCCCATGGTTGCCCCCATTAGACCAACCGCAACAGCCCTCGTGCGTAATTGATCAAAGTTGTTCTAATCCATCTCCCTCCTCAAGGAGACACCCAGTGTATCGTGGAATCCGGTGTCGCGGCGGCAAATGGGTGTCGGAAATCCGTGAGCCGCGCAAAACAACTCGTATATGGCTAGGGACGTATCCCACCCCTGAGATGGCGGCTGCCGCATTTGACGTGGCTGCCCTAGCCTTAAAGGGACGTGATGCTGCTCTCAACTTCCCTCAATCTGTGGGGTCGTACCCAGTCCCCGCTTCTTCGTCTCCTGAGGATATCCGTAAAGCGGCGGCGGCGGCGGCTGCCTTAAAAAGGTCTGAAAGCACAAGCGAGGGTACTACTACATCATCGTCAACAAGTGAGGCGCAAAACCGTGGCGTGGCAGGGGAATTTGTTGATATGGAGGCGGTTCTGAACTTCCCTAATTTGCTCGTGGACATGGCGGAGGGAATGTTGATGCCACCGCCGAGAATAAGCTTGACACCGTCAGATGATGACTCACCGGAGAATTCAGATGGAGAAAGTTTATGGAATTATTCTTGATGATCATTAAATTTTTCCCAATTGTTGAAGAAGATGAATGGGTCTTTGAGTCTTTTACAAAGTCAATGATAGCTAGATTAAGGCAAATAAATATAATATAAAAATTAAGGGGACGAAAGAGAAAGGTTTTCCAACATGAAGATTTAGTGGTTCCATCTCTTGTTTCTGAGTGCAAATAAAATAGATTTTCTTCTTTTAATTTCGAGACGGGGAGATTTAAACTTGTCACTTTTTGAAATGAGTTACAAGTTAAAAAAAAAACAATTAAATTGTTAATTTCGTGATATAAAGATTTATTAATGTACTAGCTAGTTATCATCTTGTAATGTGCTTTCTTTTTACGCTTCTATTATATAATTTGCCTTCTTTTACTAATTACTTCTAAGAGAGAATTTTGTACGCATGATTGATGTTCTTTAAAAATATTCTTGTCAATGTATGTATAAATGATATTTTTTTTCTTTTAGTTTTTAAATTTAAATATTAATATTTAATAAGATAAATTTTTAAAATTAAAATTAAAATTTTTTTAAATAAAATAACGTAATTTAATGTTAGAATTTTAATTATTTTGAAAATAAAGACTAATATGTATTTTTTTAAAAAAATAATATTTAATATTAAAAATTTTACTTTTTATCTAATAATTTAAATTATATAATTCAATATGATCTCAATTATATAATTTTTTTCTTTATTTTACATAATAGATCAAAAGCCTCAAAACGCTATAAGGGGATTGTGCATGGGTCCCATATGGCGACCCAACTAAAATAAAATAATAGGTCCAAATTCTTTTGTTTAGATGAAAGATTGAAAGTAAAGAATTGACTAGAAAGATGTGGTCTGCTTGATTATATGGTTGCACTGTTTAATTGTCGGAGACATATCATTGGGGATGAAAGGAGGTGGGGGCAAACGAGAAAAAGGAGTGTAACTTCTTGTATAACTCATCATAGTCAATATAATAAGGATGTTTTTATAAACCCATAGCTAATTCGGCTATTTTCAAAAAATGAATGATAAACCCTCAATGATGTCTTTAACGTTTAAGTATTTTGATGTGAGGTTTTAAAGTTCAAGCTTAAGATAAGTAGAGAGGTGTTTGATTGAAAAAATGACTTAGTTATTATATTTAAGTGTTTTAATTTAATTATTTTATTTTTTTATTTATATAAAAAATAAAAATTAAGACGTCATAATTTTTTTATTAATTAATTGCTTTTAATTAATAAACATGACTTTAACAAAACGAATTTTGAAACTGCTACTTATCCCATGAGGGCCCTATACATGACTTTCTCTTCCTCCTCCTGAAAATGGACCAGCTTCTCTTTAGCATTTTGTCGGTCCCTTTGTCCCTTGTTTATGGTCTGTTCAAAGCACTTGCAACAAAGTCATAATAAAATTTACAATTAAACTCTACAACGTTGCATTAATTTTCTTATATATATAGTGTTATAATAATATATGAGTAAATCATGTTATTAATAATATTAACATGTAACTTACTAATTGAATTATATAATCAGATTTACCCAATTAAACATGGACCAAAATTGGTCTCTTAACAGTGCTGGTTATTTATGTGGAGCTGGTTCTACAGAAAAGCTGCAGGTCGGCGGAAGGAAGAAAAGCACCAGGACAAGGGGGGGTCGCCTTCAAATTTGAAAAAGGTAGTCAAGGGCTATCCCTCTTGTTCTGTAACTTTATGCTTTTGAAATCAATAAGGATATAGTAAACTTTCAGAATTAATATTTTGCTGAAATTCAATATTTCTCCATCTTAAAATGAGAAAGTTTGACTGTTGCAAGGACAAAAAGATGGCCGACACGGCCACCCCATGCTTTTTCTTCTCCTCTTCCTTTCCCTTTTCCTTCCCCTTTTCCCTTTCTCGGTTGGTAATGCGTCTCTCTCTCAACAGACACAAAAAAAAAAAGAGAATTTGATTACATATAATTAATTATCTTTTGATGGGCCAAAAAAATCAAAACAGGAAATCATAATTCACTTGACTTTTTTTTTTTTAATCTCTGCTTTTACTTCAACCTCAAGCATTTTAGTTAATTAAGTCCAAATTCTACAAAAGTAGTCATCAAGGAATATCATTGAATTCAAAATAAATTAAATATATAGAATAAAAACAAATAAATAAATCATCTCAACGGCATTCCCTTTTGGGTAAGTGGTTGATCTAGCCGCATTAACTTTCTTTCTAAGGGTATGAAACTACATTACTATTTATATTCAGTTTGGTATTGTGTTGTTAATTTGTTAGTAGATTTTCTAAGGACTTTAAGAGCTTTATTATAGTGAAAGTGACAACTATGGGTATTTAGATGTGATGTGAGTGTTGTTTAAATGTCCTATAAATATAGAGTAAAAATAAAGTAATTTAATTATGTGAAGACCCGTGAATCTATTAACGTCTTGACGTCTTAAATCTTTGTTGTAAGTGTTTTGTTGGCCCACTTACTCATTCCAACTGAAACAAGGATCCAATGCAGTAGACAACATATTCATATTGTATGATTTATATCTCTTTTAATCTTTTATAAAGAAACTCTTTCTCCATCCTCGTTAGTTTATATCTTTAGGCCCCTACATGGTTTGAACCTCCCACCCTAAGGTAATGGACCACTCAAGTTGTGTCTCCCAGACGTGATGATTAATTAACAGAATCATTATGTCCTTTTGGTTTGGTATATTATTATCATTAATCTCTCTTTTTCTTTTCTTCTTATATCTCAAAATAAAACCTAACAATAGTTACATCAGTATTACATCGATTTAAGCATCTCTCTAAATAAAAACGATTTATGTAAAATTGTTAGATTAAACAAATGAGTCATTTATTTTATAATTTGGTATTTAACAAAATATAAATATAATTAGATGGAGAAAGACTCTTAATATTAAAAAGTTTACACTTTATTTAAAAATTTTTATTGTGTAATTTAATATAATTTAAATTACACAATAATTTTTCATTAAAAAATAATTTTCTACGAAATTATTTTCCATTTTTAAGTTGGTTCTTGAATATGTAAATATTATGATTTTGTGCGTAGGCAAATTCACTTTTAGCATCAAAATAAAAAATAAAAATCACTTTTCGAATTGGGCTGACAAAATCTTAATCTCTCTCACTTTGGGCTCTTATTTATTAGCCGATTTGAAATCCAAAGGGACGGAATACTCCAGCCCAGTAAAGTGAAGTCCGAGAGCCTCTGAGGCTGGGCCAGGACAATTGGCCCATGAACCCATGATTCTGAAGTGTGACAAGTGTCCGCGTGAGTTAACCGTAGGGCCGACTATGCAAAATATTCGTTACTTCGAATGGACTGACGTGACGTCATATGACATTCGGGCCGAAAGTGGTTCTGACGTCACTTTGCACATGGAATGGAACTGCCGGTTTTAGATACACGGTGAAAAGAGTAATGATACGCGCAACGAATTTGGGAACGAAACTACGGGACGACAAGTGAAAGTTTTCTTTTTATACGTTAGTTGAGCACGGAAGATCATTTTTTTTTAATTTTTTATTTCACTTATCTGTATATTATGCGATTTGAATTTAAAATTTTTTATTTTAATTAAAAAAAATTATTATTGAATTATTTAAGTAATTAGCATACATGATGAAAATGTTATAAACGTACAAATTTTTAAATATTGATGTTATTTAATTTAGTTATTAAAAATAAATAATTATTATTATATAATAAAATAATTAATGTTTATTATTTAATAAATTAAATTAATCATAATAATATTTTTTAAAAAAATAATATAAATTAATTATAACTTTTAAAAATAAATTAACATACCAATCACTTTTAATACCGATTCACTTAATTAAAATTTAATTTAATCAAAAATAAATCTGTGGTTACGTAATACAAACTTCATTTTAAATTTGTTAATATGAGTAAAGGTGAAAATAAATATGTCAACTTTACATTTTTTTTATTTAAAAATGTTAATTTTATCAGTTTTTAAATAAGGATATCAATTTTTAATTTTTTTTAAATAAAGATGTCAACTTTCAACTTTTTTTATTTAAGGATGTCAATTTTTAACTTTTTCTATATAAGGATATTAATTTTCAACTTTTTCTATATAAGGATATTAATTTTCAACTTTTTCTATTTAATGATTAATTGGGTGATGATGTTGACATAGCTAACATATTTTTTTAGGTTAAATACATGAATTAGTCACTCAACTTTTATTTTTGAACCAATTTATCCTTGAACTTCTAAAAGTATCGAAAACGTCATTCAACTTCAATTTTCAACATAAATTTCGTCTTCTGTCAGTTGAGTGCTAATGTAGCTAATTTTTCCACTAAGTGATTGATTATTTTACATTTTCAATATTAAGTGGAAAATCCATCATGTAAAATATAATTATGTGGATTTTTTTAATTTTAAATAATTTAAAAACTACTTTAATTCTTAATTTTACTTTATTTATATTTAAAAATTAAAACAATTAATATATTTTCCCATGTAATTAGTCCCACCTATCATAAGTAATTCTTAATTTATAAAAAAATAAATTAACTCTTATTTAATTTTATTAAATCAAATCTCACCTACTATAATTATTTTTTAATTCATGGAAGAATCAATTAACTTTTATTTAATTTTATTAAATGAAATTTAATCATGGAAGAATCAATTAGAAAATAATTACAGTTTATTTTAATAATTTAAACAAAAAAGAAGGTCGAGGAAGAAGAAACAAAAAATTATTTTAATTTTATTTTAATTACATTTAATAAAATTAAATAAAAGTTAATTAATTCTTCCATGAATTAGGAAATAATTATAGTAGTTGAGATTTGATTTAATAAAATTAAATGAGACTTTTTTTTTTTATAAATTAAGAGTTACTTATGGTAGGTGGGACTAATTAACTAGAAAAATATATTAATTGTTTTAATTTTAAATATAAATAAAGTAAAATTAAGAATTAAAGTAGTTTTTAAATTATTTAAAATTAAAAAAAAATCCACATAATCATCTTTTACATGATGGATTT